GGGGGGGGGGGGGGGGGGGGAAGCTGCTCCGGAGTCCAGCCCGGGACTTTCCTGCAGCCCTCCCAGCCGCTCGCTCTGCTCTGCCGGGGGAGGGGGAAATCCCGGACATTGTGAGTGCTTTACAAATTCCCCCCGGACGCTATTTTTAGCACACAAAAGGAGGACATGTCCGGGTAAATCCGGACGAATGGTAACCCTACTTCAGGTGGCAAATCAAGAGCTACAAGCGTTCCAGCTAACTGTCACAGGTGGTAAGAAGGAACTGAAGTGGTGGTGGGTCAGCAGGGCCCTATATTCAGCGCCATGAAGGTGCGACCCCAGGGGGCGCCCGGACCAACCCGACGGGTACTGCTAGGGGAAAAACCTTCCGGCTGCCGTGCATACAGCGCGTACACCTAATTGGAATTGACATGAGCAATCACTTGAACTATTGTGACCTATTCTAAGATTTGAATGACAAGAGACTCAAGTAAAACTCCTGAGTTCCAATAATCAAATAGCAGTGGTTCTATCAAGAACGTCACTTGTGTCAAAACTAGATATGGACACTCTGAAGCTCAGCATGCTCCTTTGCACAGATAGCAGCACTCAAAGTGGACTTCTAGAGCTCAGTTGTTCCGTAGCAGTGCTAGTCTTGGAGCCTGAGAGTAGCCTGAAAGGCTGTGGCATAGCTGCACATAATTGCTTCTTGTCTTAAACTGATTAATACCAGAGCAGTCCAGAGCGCCATGAACAACAGAACAAATAGATGATTACTTTAATTGTAACATTACCTCCACAGTCTTAGCAATTTAAACTGAAAGCATCGCAGTTCAACAAGGTCCTCACGCAAAATATATTAGGGAGATCACAGATGCAGGCATGGGCAAGCCTAGCTTCTCGTGGTCTCATACAAAGTAACAGCACAACTCCAGCTAAGAAAATGTACACCAATCTCAAGCCAAATAGTGAGGGATGCTTCGCACTTCCTGTGCCACTTGTGTTTCTATGTTAATGTTGTAGAGCAGTGGTTCTCAAACTTTTTTGTTCGCGGATCACTTGAAAATTGCTGAGGGTCTCGGTGGACCACTTAATGATCTTTCCAAATGTTGTTTGTACCGTTAGCTAACTAATGTAAAGTGCTTTGGATAAAAGCGCTCTATACAAAAACCTTAATAATAATAAATTTTTTTTGTTCTACAAATAAAAGCACACAACTCATATTTTAATATCAGTGGTCCTACCTTTCTAATGCGATGGATGTGCTCTCTCTCCCACGCCATGACAGCCCCTGAGCTGGGCCTGGGAAGGAGGGGGGTCTCTCCCCTGCCACAGCAGCCACAGAGCTGAGGCTGGGAAGGAGAGCTGTCTCTCCCCAGCAGCCGCAGCCCTGGAGCTGGGGAAAATAGCCTCTTTCTCTGGCCACCGCAGCCCTGCACATCCCAAATTCACCCCACCCCCTCTTCTCACTCCACTGCCCCCTCCCACCTACCCCCTATTCCCCCCAAGGCCACCACCTAACCTTACACATGCATCTTCTCCAGGGTCCAGGCATCTAAGTAGTGGAGCCACGCCTGCACGGCTCCTCTAATTAGGTGGGTGGCCCTTCATTCTCTCGTGTACGGCCGCCCAGGCGTGCCCCTTAGAGGGAACTATCCATGGACCACCTGAATGGAGCTCGCAGACCACCACAGTTTGAGAACCTCTGTTGTAGAGAAAGTCTGTCTCTCAAGCTATTATCTAACAAGGTAATCTGCACTAATAAGCAAAAGGCAGCCAGCGTGCTGAAGACTGTAGAATATGCTCAGGAAGGGAAATGGCTGCATGGAGAGTAAAATGGAGGTACAGTAGTTAATGTGATCTGGCAATGAAAAAGCTACAATGGTTGGGGAGGGAGGCAAGAGAGGGGAGCGAGCAAAGAGGGTGAAGTATAAGCATTTTTTCTCACCAGTGCTGGTCTAGAGCAGTTGTAAACATGACCTTCTCCAGCTTTGGTCTCAAACACAATCTCTCACCCAGACCAGGCCCCAGAATAGGGCATGTAACTATTCACTCTCTCAAGTGACAAACACATTTGATACAGAAATTCATGCATAGAATAAGTGGTCAATCGAGTAGCGTCTGCTGCTCTCTCTATTTCTTCTTATCATCATCATCATCATCATCATCTCAGATTTCACCTCAAGGAGGGAGCAGTGCATATAAGGCCAATAATCTTCCATGAACCACTGCAAATATCCCTTTAAAGCTCCCGGCTGCACCTACCCACCACGGAGGCCTCTCTCTCCCTTCTTTCTTTAGGATTGGAAACAAACTAGGTAACAAGAGGCTGGTTACACACAGATGAGAAGGGATCTCTATGGCCCATTCAACCCTACACTCTTCTAACGAGTCCCAACCAAGGGTGCCAACTGAGATATGAGTCCATCCAGACTGCAAAGAGTTACAAAAGGATCATAAAATTGGATGACTGGGCAACAAAATGGCAAAAGAAATTAAATGTTGATAAATGCAAAGTAATGCATATTGGAAAACATAATCCCAACTATACATACAAAATGATGAGGCCTAAATTAGCAGTTACTACTTAAGAAAGATCTTGGAATCATCATGGATAGTTTTCTGAAAACATCTGCTCAGTGTGCAGCAGCAGCAGACAAAAAAAGCTAACAATGTTAGGAACCATTAGGAGATAGATAGATAGTAAGACAGAAAATATCATAATGCCACAATATAAATCCATGGTACACCCACATCTTGAATACTGAGTGCAGTTCTGATCTCCCCATCTCAAAAAAGATCTATTAGAACTGGAAAAAGTACAAAGAAGGGCAACAAAAGTTATTAGGAATATGGAACAATTTCCATATGAGGAGAGGTTAAGAAGACTGGGACAGTTCAGTTTAGAAAAGACTACTAAGGGGAGATATGATAGAGGTCTATAAAATCATGAATGGTGTGGAGAAAGTGAATAAGGAAATGTTATTTATCCCTTCATATAACACAAGAACTAAAGGTCACCCGATGAAATTAATAGGCAGTAGGCTTAAAACAAACAAAAGGAAGCACTTCTTCAGACAATGGACAGTCAACCTGTGGAACTTATTGCTAGGGGATGTTGTGAAGGCCAAAAGTATAACTAGGTTAAAAAAAGAATTAGATAAGTTCATGGAGGATGGGTCCATCAATCGCTGTTAGCCAGGATGGTCAAGGACACAATCCCATGCTCTGGATGTCCCTGAACTTCTGACTGCTGGAAGCTGGGACTGTTCTGTTCACTCCGTCTGAAGCATCTGTCACCAGCCACTGTTGAAAGACAGGACATGGGCTAGATGGACCATTGGTCTGACCCAGTAAGGCCATTCTTATGTTCATTTGTCCACTACGAACCAAACTGAGACAATCAACTCATTTCACACAATCATCCAGTCTGTCAGTGGTAGTAACTTTTGGCTCCTGCCAAATCTGAGCTGTGTGCAAACCGATGACCTAGAAGCAAACGGCTCTGCATCTCACTGCCTGGTTTCTCACACTGGTAGTCTCCCAAAACAAGAGTAAACATCCATTAAACTCAGAATGCAACCCATGAGCTGACAAAGAGATGAGAACATCATTTCCTTGATAGTCCTCTACTCAACAGGTCTACTAATTCCACAGAAGATCATTAGCCCTACTCATATTGCACGCCAACCACATAGGACAGAAAATACGAGGCTGCTGGTATGAACTGGATATCCTCCTGGTATCGCTGGGTTATCCAATGGTGGACTTTAGTTATAAGAGACAAGCAAACATGTCCCTTTGACTATGCAGGAGAAAGATCTTCCAGCTTTAGCAACAACTGCGGATTACTTACATGCTAATGTGAAACATGCACAGAGAAGCAAACCAACTAGGACTTTAGAATCAATATGCTTAAGATGTGATCTCCTTTCTGGGAACCTACCTGACACTGCTCCTTCAGGTCCATGGCTGCACGGTTCTGTAAGCATGCCCAACACAATGTAACTACCCCTTCGGGGGAGAACCTCTCCTAGGTGTGTATGACGCTTGGTTACTCTGTTATCGTAACACCATCTGCGGAAACAAAAAGGGCAAGAGTCAGATTTTCCTCCACACTCTAAGACAAGTGTATAATGAAGCTGATAGACTTCAAATGAAAGGAAAGGGGTGTATGAGAGAGAAACCTGGAGTAGAATGTGGTTCTAAATTGTGCCCCATTAGTTTGCAGTCCCCCGCCCCAAGTGGGCTTTATCAGTTTAACTTTCAAAAAAGCTGTCAGCACTAGATGAATTAAATTCCCTGTAGAGCAAAATAAATGCAGCAGCCTTGACATATATCCTGGCACACATCCAGGAGAACTGCCAAACACTGCCCCTAGCAAGAAGCTAGATTCCACCAGGTGTTCCGAAGACAGCAGGCTGAAATGCCAGCCAGCAGACGTGTGATCGGACCAGGCTGTCACCAGCAGCCATTTGTCTTGCTATTTTTATCTAACCGGGGCTCTGTCCAGCTAATCTCTAATGGAGCCTGCAATAATGACTCTTCCATTTGCTGAAACACCACATCAGATCCTCTTTGACAAGGCTATACTACAGGGCTAAGCTCAAATCTGACCCATCATTAAACGGGCGAGAAGGCCTAAAGAATGGCTCCAGACCATCAGCAAATTTTATTTTAGCAAAACTGGGATTAACAGAGCTATAGCAGGAGACAGCTCTGGAACTCATTTTCCCCCTTGCTCTGACATAGCCTGAATTGGTTGACCTTCAGGGCACACAGCAAGACTCATCTGTTATTTTGGACTTTACAGGGAGGGGACTAGTTGAAGGAATTCGGTAGTTCATTGCAGGGTATTATATTTAGGAGGGGATCATTTTCAATATTAAATGAGTTGAGATAGTAAAAGGGGCTATATGATGAAGTGGCCTTGGGCAGCAGAGAGTCGTTTGGAGATAAGGGTTAACGACTCTTGTATTTTTAATAGTTACGTAGAGTCAGAGCTTGGACAGATGCTTCTAATAAACAGGAGGCACACAGTTCAGCAAACTGACCCATACCAGGTCTGTATTTACTAAACTGAAACAAAACCCTGTGAAGGGGTCTAGGCTGGATGTGGTCACCAGACTTTCCACCTTACCCTAGTCTGTAGGTTAGCCTATTTTTCACAGCAGATGGATTCTGCTGATCGTCTCCCAGCTCCCTGCAATCTTTGTGCATGGTGCTGTTCTCTATGACAGCAGTGTAACTAGATTCATTTGAGCACAAAAGGAACCCTCAGCTCCCTTAGAAAGCAATGTTCCCCCTGTGACTATGACCATGCACGTGTATGTGTTATTAGGTGAGAGGCAGACACCAACAATTTGGTCAACTTAATGTACCCTCTCTACATATACAATACTCCTGGGGGAATTCTGCATCACTGCGCATGTGCAGAATTCATGGCCCCCGCAGATTTCTTTGCTTCCCTGCAGAAAAATGACTTCTGACAGGGAAGCAAAAGGAAGCCGCAAGAGCAGTCATGCGTCCCCTCCCCGGCAGTGCAGGAAGGTCGGTTTGGGCAGCCGGTAGAGACGTAAATAACCGCCGGGGGGAGGGAGGGGGAAATGAGCAGTCATGCACGTGAGAGACAGAGACACCCTGTCTCTCTCGCTCGCTATTGCGGCACACTCGGCATGGAGGGGCAGGGCTTTGGGGTGTTTCTGAAGAGGTAGGCGTGGGGCAGGCTCTGTCGCCTCAGGCAGAGCAGAATGTAGCAGCCTGCCTGCTTAGTGAATTGTTCCTATTGTTCTTAGCAAATTCCCCCAGGAGTATAAAACAGGTGTAAAAATTTTAAGTCTCCTTTACATTACCAGAGTGGCGTAAAGGAGCCTTATTGTAAAGGACAGTATGGCCTTATAAATGCTTATGGTGTTTTAGTGATTAGAATTGGTCTAAATTTTTGGACTGAAAACATTTCCTATCAAAATGTGCTCCATGAACTGTTTGCTACTAACCTTTTTGGAAATGGTCAGCAGCCAGTATAAATTTTGAGTTTGAGTCTCCAGCCCTCACTTGCTCTTCAGTTGCCTATGATGTAACACTGAGCATATGGCTGCATACATTTGTTGACTAATAACTAGAAGTAAAGGATCAGAGGGGTAGCCGTGTTAGTCTGAATCTGTAAAAAGCAACAGAGGGTCCTGTGGCACCTTTAAGACTAACAGAAGTATTGGGAGCATAAGCTTTCGTGGGTAAGAACCTCACTTCTTCAGATGCAAGTAATGGAAATTTCCAGAGGCTGGTATAAATCAGTATGGAGATAACTAGGTTAGTTCAATCAGGGAGGGTGAGGTGCTCTGCTAGCAGTTGAGGTGTGAACACCAAGGGAGGAGAAACTGCTTCTGTAGTTGGATAGCCATTCACAGACACCATCAGATCAGGATTAAACAAAGACTGTGAATGGCTATCCAACTACAGAAGCAGTTTCTCCTCCCTTGGTGTTCACACCTCAACTGCTAGCAGAGCACCTCACCCTCCCTGATTGAATTAACCTCGTTATCTCCATACTGATTTATACCTGCCTCTG